CCGCCGCAAGGCTCTGATGCGCTTGGAGTACGAGGGCCTGGCCGAAACGCAGGCGCGCTCCTCTGCCGACCCCGCGACTTATGCCATGGAACGTTACGCGTACTATGTATGCCATAAGTGTAACAAGGTAAGTCTCTTTCTATTGGGTTTTACATGAATTTGGCATTTTTTTAACCTTCAACTGTTATTGTAGGACCTAATAAGTTACCTTTTTTGTTTACTATTTGTTTTATGTGATTAGGCATACTTCGGTGGACTTGCGCGATGCGAGGCTGAATCTAACGGCCATTGGGAACCAGCGGAGCTGATGTGCGGCGCCTGCAGCGACACCACAGGCGCGCGCGTCTGTCCCAAACACGGCTCTGACTTCCTTGAGTACAAATGCCGATACTGCTGCTCGGTAAGTGATACTAAACAATAACATAACTCCCTTTACCCCGAGAGGAAGACAGAGAACAAGGACCTTATCAATTGATACCTATATCAACAAAAGGCTGTCTTAATTTTGAAATTTACACGTCATACTTACAAATGGGAATCTGTCTAATTCACAAATACATACTATCTAAAACATAATTTGCATTCTCAGCAAATGAAGTTAAACATTAAATAGTATTTACTGTGGAGTTTTATGTGTGTGCGTGTGAATGTGTTTCTAACGTTTATAAATGTTTATTTAAAGGTGGCAGTATTTTTCTGCTTCGGCACGTCTCATTTCTGCAACGCGTGCCATGACGACTTCCAGCGCGTCACCAACATTCCGCGGCATCTTCTGCCTCAGTGCCCTGCCGGTAGGTTCATTTAGTTTGCTTTTAACACTAGTCAATTAGAATCTATGACTAGTTTTTAGTGATTAGTGTTTGTGGTGAAGAAAGGATTGGAGTATTCAATTTTGTAAGTATGTAATATTGTTTGTAGGTCCAAGAGGTGAACAAATGCCTGGCACGTCCGATGAATGCCCTCTTCACGTACAACATCCCCCAACCGGCGAAGAGTTTGCCCTTGGCTGCGGCATATGCCGTCATTCACTGTCTTTTTAAATTATTTATTGCGTTTTTTTAAGTCTAAGTATTTTTAAAGATTTGTTATTTATTTTTCCTAGAATGCTTTGTAATGTTTTTTTATATTATTTCTTACTGTAGAATTACGGATTATTTATTTTAGAGTTACACACAAGGCGCGAATAAAACGCGGACAAACAGGTTTAGATGAATATTTCTTATGTCTATGCCAACATTGAATTAAATTAATTTTATAATGTGTACTTTTAGCTACTAAATAAATTCAATGCAGTATTACAAGCTCTCTTTAAAGGTAATGTGAAAATTGAAATAAGAAAAGTCAAATTTAAGCTATTTAGGTAGCAAAGAAATTATAAAATTGTTTTCATTTCAATGGCATAGACTAGGAAGAATGAGCTTTTGACTAATTTAATAAATTATAGCTATCCTATCGACTGTTTCCTATCGTTAAATAAATATTTTTGTACAGTTTAAGTGTTTACAATCTGTGCACGAACTTTGCATAGTTCGGATGCACGTGTACATTTTTATTTAAGTTAGTTACACTAAACATAATGTCTTTTTTTAATAGATTTGTTTTAAATTGTTAAATAATCAAAAGTTAAAATAAACAAATATGGATTTCGTCCACACGTAAATTGACCTTATAATTGGAATTCGGAATATCACATTTTTTGTTCTACACGGAATTGAATAAGCCACATAGATTAAGACAAAAAAACTGCATATTGTATCTATACGTCCTTCTAATTCTTGTTAGTGGTTCATATTGACAATTATTTTACGACGCGACTTGTCTATTGGATAGTTATTTAATGGTGTTTTACCATTAGATATTGTAATTAAGTATCAAACGTAATCGATAAATCATTATTGTACAGATTTACTGTTAAAACAATCGTTGAAATTCATAACATCAGTATTTCCGATTTAGTCATAGTAAATAATATTATTACACTCGAATAGACACTTGTAAATTATAGATTAAATATTTTGAGACTGTTAGAGACATATTGCGGTAAAATGCAATATAGTTTTGAAAAAATTATATAAGTCTATTCAAAGCGCTTTCCATAACGCTTTAAAAGTAAAGGCGTCCGAATACTTGACACTTTCATATCTGTGTGTGCGATTATTAATGAATGAGAATGTTTGAATTCCTATACTTGGAGTTAAGCTGCAGGTTACCGTTTATTCGGAATCAATAAACTTAATGAAAACCAGCAATCTCTATCTCGAAGCATATTATTTCTAAAACTCTACCGATATAAGACGGGTTATTTCAATAGCCATATCACGAAAGAGACGTATTCACCATTTAAACAATTGCAAAGACTTTTTCCAACTGACTGTTCAGTTCCCGCACCAAAATAGACATTTAATGAACGAATGAGACATACCGGATTTTGACTTGAGATGCAAATTGATACAGAAATAAGTAACATAGTAATGAAAATACATTGAAAGTAATTAAAAGGGATTTGACATAAATTAAACGATGATAGACAACCGGACAACTGAAATAAAAGTTAACATAGTCTCTGAGAGTAGGACTACGTTTATGCACTGAGGTGATATCGTAATGTTTTAACGCTCAACGATTCTATTCCGGTTTATAATAATAAAATTCTTATTAATATTAATCTATATTCACGTTTTTTGACATTCAATATGTCGCATTCTTAAGTGTCTAAATATAATCAATGTCGTGTATTTAGATAAAGTATGAGAGCCACCCTGGAGCTTAATCCCAAATAAAATTCCTAAATATCTATCCTACTCTTGTTACTGGGTTACTATTTCTTTATACCCCCTTATTGTTATACGAATTAAGATTTGTTTTCATAGAGCCTGCACCGAAAAAATTTCAATAACGTCAATTTTAATATATTTCACGATGCAACCTAAGCATATAAAATAATTTAACGATCACTTGACAAGGCAGACACTAAAATGTCAACGATCTAGTTGTAGTTGTAGTGGCACCTAAAAAAAAACAAAACTATTATAGAACATGCGTTGTAAAAAAAAAATAAAAAACCTAACGGTCGTCGTTCTTAAAATTAATATAAAATGTGAGTGTTTGAAACGTTAAAGAGTAAAAATTGATTATAATTTTACGTGCTACGAGTTATTTAGTTAAATTAAATCACATTGTTACATTTGCACCAAAAGTGCAAATTAATCTGAAGACATACGTTGTTAGTTATAACACAAATTAATCATTGAAATGGCACTGTTAAATTATATTAATAAAAAAAGGTGCGAGGCTCTTAAAACTGTTATAACTTTCCAACTGCCGACCTCTTTGTGATCCTTAACATTTATTATTTGCTGCCAATTTTCATATTATATACTATCCAGCGTTAATCGCAAACATATAATAGTAATATCTTATCTATGTATGTACGTGCAACGCCGTACTTTCAATGTTAGTAGTAGGGTTGTAACGGAGACCATTTTAACGGAAGCGGATGCGGAGGTCAGTAATAAAATATTAATTGTGATTGAATAAAGAAACAAAAATTGAAACTGCGTTAATTCAAAATACAGATTGGTACATTTACAAGATACATTTTTTATACAAATATGATGTATAACAATTATTAAGTTGAAATGGTGTAAGTTATGAACCTTTGCCAAACCGATTGAAAGGTCACAAACCGCTCTTCGTAACTTAGTACTTAACTAATAATTAAAATTGTGAAGAGGCAAATTGTATTTTATGAACAACAATCCATATTTATATTGGTTCTTAAAACAAAGGACACCGCATCTTTCGCTGTCCTCCGCGCACACGCCGCCAAAAGGCTAGGCAATAACGTTGCCAACACACTAATAACAATTAAATCTCAAAGACAAACGCGCGTACGAGTCAAAAATGTGAACTGCTAGTTGACAGAGCACACCCGCGCGTGCCGCATGAACGATGTTTAGTGGGTGCACCGTTATAACTACTTCGCACAAGAAAAAACGGAAGCGGTTGCGAAGTTATCATTTCTTGCGGAAGTTCCGCACTTGCGGATGCGGAGGCAGAGTTCCGTTACAACCTTAGTTAGTAGTAATCTCACGTGTTAAATGTTATAGGATAATAGTAAATGTTGTCGCCTAAAGGTTAGCGCACACTATGCAGCACAAAGGGTCGCTTGTCCGCTGCAGCCGGACAGTTTGTTATAGTAACCGGAATAAACTAACAGTTTTAATGTTAAATTAACTTAAAACATTAAACCGTCAATTGAATACCCCGAAAACTCACTTCTACTTCTTACTACTTTTTTGTAGATGTTTATTTTATTCATTTAATAGTAGACAAAAGGATATACGATTCTTTGTCCGAGCTATCCATAACGTATAATTGCACTAGAAATCCGTCAATTGCATCTCGGACCGTAATAATGTGCGAAAAATTTACCCTGCGGTGCGGCTCGCTCCGGCCCGCTCCGCTCCGCCGCAACCTGTGTGTGTTAGTGTGCGAGAACCTTTAATTAACCAGCTTGTAACAGCTTAATGTATTCTTTCCGCGGGCCTAGATTAACGAATACGGATCCTGTAAACTTTATTCGACTACTAAAGATTTCTTTAATGGCGATGATAATAATTATTTTATAAATACGTGTGTATACCTTGTTTTAGGATGTGGCCTAAATCAATGTGAAGTAGAATGTTTTGTAATATTTCTAATTTATTCCATCATCTGGAGTACAAAGTTAATACATACTTAAGTTCTAAATTAGACAGTTACGGCGAAACTTGATTATTTTAAAACAAGATATTCAAAACGATTCTTTATTTATATGTTGTTAAGATTCATTTTCTAAAAACAGGGATAAAAATTTTTCAGTTCATGAGCAAAAATTGTTTAGGCCAGTCCATTTAATATATGTACTTAGGAAAGGGGTAGCCGACATTTTATACCGATTACAAAAAAAAAATACCGTTAAAAGAAATTATTGCTAAGGTCTAATTTACAATTTGATTAAAGCTTAAATTACTTGTCAAGTAAAAGTTGTCATTTATCAATACAAGTAAAACGATCTAATTTTTTATTTTACCGGTTGGAATAAATTTCATTATAAAATTTAAATGAATCTAATTAAAGCAACAGCGGTACAATTGTTGACTACCCCTGACATAGATTACAATGTACATAATGTATGGAACAACTTTATTATTCAATACGTCGCCATAATTTATTAAAAACTGTCTTATGTTTATACTGAATTTCTTTTCAGCATTTATAAACACAAATCATTAACTGAAATGCAATGTTATTTGCGACTAGTTAATTTATATTAAGTGCCAAAGTTGACAACATTTTTCATATTAACTAAATTATAACATTTTTTTTGTTGCTTTTTTTACTCGGTGGCGTTATATAAAATGCTATTTGGCTGAAATTTATAATAAATTTTGTTTAACGGGGTACGGCAGAATGTATAATTTCTAATGATGTTTGATTATATCTGGAATGGAAAAATTGTGAGACGACTAACCCCGTTATTGTAAAAACGCCCCACGAGTACTTGTAAGTCTTCGAAATACGATTGAGGTTATATAAAGTTATGTTTCGAAATTACACAAAAGAAAGTGTTATTACGAGTACGAGGAAAATTTAACATCTGTATAAATGTAAAAACTTTAGTTATGAACTATGGAAACTTTTCAATAAAGCTTATGGGAACGTAAACGCCTTTGATTATTCAATACCATTCACTATATTATGCGTTTTGGATCAGATATTTAGATAAAAAATTACTTTTGACAACATCGTGAACAATCAAGCTGATCTACCACAGACTATTGTTAATATTATTTTCTTATATGGTATTAAATTTTATATTGAGAACGCCTGTTTCTAACTAATAGCAATCATTAGGATAGTTTTCATTGCTACATTTTATAATAAATTTATGTTGGTCCTGATATGGAAATAAGGGATGTGCAGATACGGAAACATAAATTACGCTTAAAATCTGTCTTTTGTTGTTCTTTGAGAACTTATTGAAACATTTAGTATGGCACAAATATGCTATTTGATTTTTTTTGGTCAGAATTATGGCACATTTATGTATTTCCTACTCGAGGTTTCTCATAACTTCGTTACCGCAGAATTTAAAAAGAAGTCAATAACATTCCTGCATACATCACCTTTTTGAGACCTTCATAATCGATCCAGTCGAGGAAGAATACCGATGTATTCTAAACCATTTAAAAACGAATAGTTTTCATTTGTTTTTCGTAAATGTTGATACATGTATTTAACAAACTTGTTTTGTTATCAATTGACGAATCAAACGGGAACGCAAATGAATTCGCATTCATTAAGCAGTCATTGAAGAGAATTTTCGATAAGTATTTTACATTCAAAGGTTTATAACTAGATACAAATTACTTATAAATGTTTAGACTTTTGTAACGTTTCACTCTATAGATATTTTGTGTAAACAAACAGTTGTAGATATCAAGGTGTACGAGTAGTTGTATTTTGTCGTAAGTGTAAAGATCGAGATAGCGTAGATAACTATAATATCAATGTTTTTAAGATCGATGCCTCACTACATATAGTTATCAGAATTTATCTTACTTTTATCCAGGGCATTGCAGATTCTTTACACCATTTTAGGTTGCAGTCTTATATGGACGATGCCAAGTGATGTGCTCTTGGATTAATTTAATGAGAAAATGTTCATCAGTTCGTACAAATTAAAGGTGAGGACTTTTTGATTTTGGTATTGTAGAAGTTAATATTGTTGAAGTTTCAAGTAAAAAATCGTTTTAATTAAAAGATTTCACACTAAGTTAGTAATATAAAATGGGTATGTTATGATAAAAAGTTATAACTAAATGATGGCAATTACATTTTCCTAGAAATCAAGAACAATTTTGTTTTAGTGAAATCCTGTTAGATCCAAATTTCAAAATCTTAATCCTTTGAAAGCTTCGCTTTAAATATTTTCAAGTTATTTTTTTTTGTTTTCAGAGTTGGCTGAATTGGCCCCCAGTGTGTGCGCACCTTTGCACTTTTGCAGTGGCTTTCAGTTTAAGCAGCACATGGCGGGTACCCCGGGACGCGTTTCGTTATGGCGGCCTCATGTACGCCTTGATCCTGACTATTGCTCTTGTGGTGGTAGCTCTTCCTACCACCTTGCTGCAGCTGGCCATTGGACAACTCAGCCAGCAAGATGCTGTCGGTGTTTGGAGAGCTGTACCTTTCTTTAAAGGTAAGATAGTGATACGCATAAATTTAGTTCATTCCTGGTGTGGCCCTAAAGCTAATTATTTGCTATTGTTCGTTCCATGCATTCTAGTAAATGATAGTCAAACAGTCTGTTAATATATGCATACCGTTATTTTTTACTGGAAAATAGATAATTTACGCCTGCAACATGCCGCCTTAAAAGTGAGTTTGCATCTATATACTCTGACTTCGCTACGTATTCGAATTTGCAACAGTGTGTCAGGGGCCTTAGGCTCTACTCCAAAACATACTGCATTTTTCTTAACTTTAAATTGTTTTCATTGTTTATTCTGTTTATAATTTCAGGCATAGGATACGTCAGATTGTTGATATCAATGCTTGCACTGGTGTACACGAGCGTGTATGTAGCACTCACATTTACGTACCTTTTGTACACTATTAGCAACTCAATACCTTTTTGGGAATGTCAATACATTGTTATACCTGTAAGTATCAACATTATTTAGCCGATATATATTTACGTATTAAAATATCGACCAGATTCATCCAGGTTACTGCCATTCATTCATTAAGTTAGGAGTAAAGAAACAAGGGCTAACCCTTACTAGAAAAGTATAGTACAGAATTGTTATGAGTTTCCAAATATTATCTGTTAATATGAACGTTCAATGCAGTATTTTTTTATCCGTCTTTCCCTTTGTAAGTTACTAATAAACAAAATTAATATTTTCAGGATGACGATGAAACTTACATATCAAATGCGGCGACTTGTTTTAAGTAAGCTATAAATTCTATAAGCCAAAAATACATTGCTTAATAAAATTATTTTGATAATTAACTCTTAATTTATTTCAGTGAAACTTTTCTGGCACCGGTTAGTGAAAAACCTGAGTACTACGTAGCGCTGTGTTTGGTCATCATCGTTCTATTAACACTGCTGCCTTTTGTGTGAGTAGTTAATGGTTCTTTGTTACAACTTTTATGAAGGCATTTATATGCTCCAACTGTATGTCGACAAGGTATGACGACAATACACATTTAACGACATACATACTATATTTTAATTGTAATTAACTAATGAAGAAAAAACATATAGCTCAATTCTTGTAAAGTCGACAAAAACAATCCGAACGACAACTTCTACAGTCAAGTCGGTCAAACCCGTTAGGCTGCAGGGTAATACATATAAATTCAACTTCAAAGGATGCATTGTAATGTTAAACCCTAAGTTTAACTTTATACGGCCTTTTATTTGTACGGCTATTAAACAATAAAAATGATATTTTGACCGTTTCTATTGTACATTTAAAGGTCAGTATTTATATTTTAATTTCCAGATTATTCGGACCATTTAAATTTATGAAGCGTATATTTTATGTCCTGGGACCTGTTATGTTCGTGCTTGGCATCGTTATTATATCTAGCATTGGAGATGGCAAAGGATTGACTACATTTTACAACAGTAGCCACGTACAGAATATAGTAAACTCGAGCATATGGCACGCTGCTTTGATACAAGCTCTGATGTCATCTCAGACCGCCAACGGATATCTCATATTAGCTGGAGACTCTATCTATGCGAATACGAATATTTATTGGTAAGATAAGTTCGTTTAATTTATGAATCTTGTTATAAAGTCTTTGCATCTGATTATATAGGGCTGTACAATTTAATTGTAATTACTTTATAACATAACTTACTTTTTAGGACATCCCTAATATTTATTGGAACGAACGTCGCAGCGTGTTGGTTCGGTTTGACCTTCTGGCATGGCCTCAGCTGGGAAGCAGATCGTGATACCAGTCCAGTAGCTGTCCTCGTGGAGACGTACAAGGCAGCGGTCGGGAGAGAACTGAACACCGCCTGGCCGATTCTTATCTTCATTCTATTGTTACTTTCGGGAACTGTCACTATGGTTAGTACATTTTTCGTACTAAATATTGTGCAACATGAGCTAACTTTTTAGGCAACCGATTTTTTAGCTTATTAAAAAATTATATGAATATTCATGTTTCTTTTGCTTTTTCCAGCTTACTCTGCTATATCCTGTCTTCAACCATTGCCGTCGCTTCGGTGGTCCTAAGTGGAGATACATTGCTATTGTGTGCTGCTTGGCAAGCGTAGGCGGGGCATTGGCGGCCTTAGCAGGAGGTCTAACTGCCTTAAGTGCTATAGAAGACATCATAGTACCTTTGTTGATCAGTATTGCTACCGTAGCCGAAGTGTTGGCATTTCTTTTAATATATGGTAAAATATATACTATATTTATATAACTGTTTTCATTTTGTCATCAATATTAGTTTTAGATATTATCATACTATTTTATTTTTCCATAATTTCAATGTGGTTTATTGATGATTCAATAGTACAGATTATTTTGAAAGACTTTTCTTCCACAGGTCGAAAATCGTTGGTGGAAGATGTGGAGTTTTTAAACGGCCAACCTTTGGCAAACTATTGGGTTATTGGATGGTTTTTGGCGCCTTGTATAGTATTAGCGTTAACATTATGGTGGGCAGTCACTTGGTTGATTGATGATACGAAATGGAACGAGAGTCCTTGGGAAGCAATTCTGATAGTAGTAACATTTGGTGTAGCTGTCATGATGTTCGTCATCTTTGGAGCGTTCTCGGTGGCGAAGCAAATGCAATACGACACACTATCGGTAAGCATATCATATCATATTTGAATTATTAAATAAGAGTAAGACGCAATTGCTTATCTTGTGCTCAGCGAAATCTATAAAAAATAATGTCAACATTTTTCCTGATCGTGTATAAAAAAGGATGCGACCTTGTTAAGAGACCTTATCGTTTTTTAAAACATATTCGTTTTTATTTAGTTTTTTATGTCGCTTGAGGAAAACCGTTTGTCAACAGAAGCTGCAAGCGTCTTTTAGACCGTCAAGACACTGGGGCCCGAGGGACCCTATAGCTCACTACTATTGGTTGGCACGTCGAGAAGAATCCGAGAGAAATTTACCAAGAACTAGTTACAGACGACAGCTTGGACAATTATCTGGCAACGCAAGTTTTGCTCACATCTCAAGTACTTTCTCATCAAAAACCTCATTGGAAAATAAAAAGCGGTCAAACTCCGACGATTGGATGTACACAGAGTATAGAAGGAAATATTTAGAACAAATGTTTCCAGAAATTCTCCAGCAAAACAAGAAGAGATCTATGTCATTAGACTATACTACGGATACGAAAACGAACTTCGTTATTACAGACACAAATAAAACTCGACAAGTAACTAATATTATACCAGAACTGAATAATAACATAAATGTACCGCGATAAATTTTAATATGCATAATTTTATATGCTTACCTTAATATATAGTATATAATGATTTGATAAGTTAATTTAGGTGAATATAAAAATCAACTAAAATGTTTCTACTTATTTAAAAAAATCCTTTAATGCATATTCAATTTTGAGGAGTTAAGAAGAATCGAAAAACCTTTTTATTATCTTTAAATGAAATAAAATAGCGTCTTTGAAGATATTAGCGAATTGAATGAAGTTTTAAAAAGCTGGCGCTTAATCATATTTCACAAAATACCTTTTACCCGTAGTTTCCATTACTGAAACGTATTAACAATAACATATCATACCTCAAATAATCTTCTTCACTGAAATAATAAAGGAAATACTTTAATGTTTCGGCAGTGAAAACTCAAATGTTTTGTCTGTCGCTGAAAATTCGCTACATTCTACTCATCCTTAATTATCATAATATCTATTTATGAATAACTAGCTGTTGTCCGCGACTTCGTCCGCGTGGTATTAGAAAACAGGCGAATTATATAATTAACAAAAAGCTACGTATCCCACGGCAACCCGACATTTCTCCGGGATAAACCTTATCCCATGTGTACTCTTGATTTTGTTTTATATCTGTGCCAAGTTTTAACAAATAAACATTAAAAAACTAAATTAATGAATCCCCCGGGAACCGTAACTATTCCCGGGATAAAAAGTAGCCTATGTGTTCTTCCAGACTATGATCTACATCTATGCCGAATTTCATGGAGATTAGTTCAGCCGTTTAGGCTACAAACTCTCACAAGCATCCATCCATCCATCCATCTAAACTTTCGCATTCATAATATTAGTAAGAAGTAAGATTAAATTTAGTCCTTAAAAGTTTCTTATAAACTATGCCAAATGCTATACAAAAGATGTAACTATGCGAATACTATAAAGAATTATTATAACACTTTAGACAGATAGAAATATGCCCTATAGATCCTCATTTCAAACTAAAAGTTGTTGAATATTCACTAATAAATATATACAGCTGAGCGTGTTTTATTCATGTATTCCTACTCCGTTTTAGCGTAGCTGGGTCGGGCAGACTGAACATTGGAACGGTAGGTAATATTGCTGCAATTGCGAAGATTCATTTATTATTAATTAATTATATTTGCTGGCGCAGACATCAATATCGATACGAAAACTGCATAATCTTGTTAAAAAAGGAGAATAAGAGTTAATAAGATACACGCCCTACCTTTCAAATAAATAAGGTTTACACGGACAACCATATTTATAAAGCAATAGAAATAAAATAAAAACATTCAGACGAATTTGTGAACGTCCTCCTTTTTGAAGTCGTTTAAAATGGATAGTAATCTGAAACATAACAATAAAAATCACTTAAGCCAATAAGAAACTAGATAAAAGTTTGTTTTTCTATTATAAAATAATATAAAATATTGAAAAATAAGATAATATGGATCATGTTTCCGGATTTTATTCTATACTTCATCTAATAGCATTGTATTACTGAATCATATACAGACCTAAAGGTGCGTACAAACCGACGTTACGTGGTATAAGGTATGTAAAGTGACATGTTACAATACGGTGCGCAGTGTTACAGGAAAACCATCGAACAACGAGCTGCTCGAAAGTTAATATGCGTATTACACCTCGTTACGTCGGTCTGTATAAATGCCTGGTCGCATATGCTAAGTTACTCTAATATGGGGGTAAATTTTTAAGTGTCAGTAGAACTGTACAGTTCTCAGTTTAGTCACATAGCAGACAATCTAATTGTAATAAACTTCACGATGCGAATTATGCACGATGCTTGTTTGAATTCGAAATGAGAAAATTCGCGGTAAATCCAAGGCTGTAGTTCAAGGAATCGATTATAATAAGTAGGATTAACAAGAATTAAAAAAAAGACTAAGAGGAGAATGAATGAGAGCATTAATCAGTTTCCTAAACGTTGTTTTAAAGGAAGTGCCAAAATTATATATCAAAGTAAAAATCACATTTTCAAATCAAGTCCTCGCATCTTTAGCCCCAATTAAAAATAAAAAGCCATAAGTCGTTTAACAAGAAACAGTCCTTCATATTTAAATGGAGCGCTCTGTCATGCTTTAGACGTTTTAGGTGTTTCCTCGTCGCAAAATGTCCGCTGCGACCTCCAAAAGTTGTAGGAAACGAATCAGTGTTCACCGCTGTCGCTTACGTGCTGTACCGAGGTGACCTCTCTTTAGGAAGATGTGCGTCGTTACACGGCGATGGCTCCTAAACATTCTCTGCACGTAAATCTGTTGTCTACACCTGATTAGAATATGCAATGATAAATCATTAAATAATTAATTTTCTAGAATCCTAGGTATGACTAAGGTGTTTAAATTAGAAAAATAAATACTGGAAATAAAGTAAAGTATTATTAAATAGAATTGTTTAAAACTTCCAATCTATTATACATATGACACATTTTATGATTAAGCTTAAGGAACGTTCCAGAACGTCCAATGTGCTTTAGTTAGGGATCGTTCATTAATTCATACCCCTAAGATAAGGGCTTGTAGATATTGTAAACATTGTTATGGGATATCCATGGGCTTACGTCATCAAATATTACATTAATTATTGTTTTTATTTAATAAAACGTGCATAACAGTTTATTAACTCGGCTGCATCAGACCATATTTAATTAGTAACCCATGAGTGTATTCTGAGCTGTATTCTTGCACTGTAAGCTAATATTATTTCCTATGCTATAATTCGTATTTCCTTACAATTACCAATCACGGCTGGCTGCTTGCTTATGCCTGAGTGATCAATTTGCTTGCTACGTTTTTTTTTATAATAAATAAACTAGTCCTTGGCGACATTCCGAGTTGTTTAGTGGCAATTATGCGTCACAAGGGTATCTTAGAATAGAGAGTACAATTATATAAAATATTGATACTATTTACTCAAACACAAATTCCACAAAAGAAAAGAAAATACGAAACGCCGCCTTCTACAGAAAGTATTTCCAAGATTAGTTTAATTTCATAGTACCTTTTACTGCTCAGCTAACCTAGCATATTATACCGTGTGATTCTACTGAAATAACCTTAAGAAAGGGATGACAACATATTTGTATGACTCCTTCGCTTCTTCTGTGGAAACCGAGAGCAACGAGTACGCTAATGCGTAACCAAGCGACGCGACGCAAACGTCAAAGTTCTGGGACGGAGACTGCGCACTTCTTCCCTCATCTCCTCGGTTTTATGATTGCCTGGTATCTGGCGCGCCAAATTATTCTGATCTTTTAGATATACAGAAACATTCGATTTTATACAACCCCATCATCAAGTTCATCCCTCTGAAACAAATGTGACCATCATGTGTTTATTAATATCAATGATTTCTATTTTATTTAATAGGCTTAATTCGATTCTCAATAGTAAGAATAAAATAAAACACGCACGACTTCATAAAGGGGTAGACAGAGAATTCTATAAGGCCCAATTATGGCATGCTATCTTGCTTGTTTTGAACAATTAATCTTTTTTCGTTCACTAAAAGTATTAAAAAAATCCTTTTTTTCATTGTTCATTCGAGTTCAGTTGTGAACTGGTAGTCCGTTTTTTTTAAACGTACATATTTAACAACTACAATGCTTATATAAAGTACCTCGTTTAATGTATTAAGATCTGTATAATCAAGAAAATATTAAAATGATTATCGGATACTTGCGTCGTAAGTATGTCTGACTCAGCCAGTTTGAAAATAGAAAATTGAAAAAGGAACAAAAGGCAGCGATGGCTTCCAGTGTACTAACCTCTATGACAAGGTATTGCGTAAGTTGCCTAGCAACCTGCACCGCCCGGTTTAGAAGATTTACGACACGTTATATACGAAGGGCTCTAATTTCTCAAATAATTTGTACTAAGGGGACTGCTTTTTATTGTAAATTCTTCTATTAGAAACATTTGCTCTCAACTAACAAACATTATAAATTTTAAATAACCCCGGTTGAAAATTGTAACATTTTATAACTATGGAATTATTTATACCTTATAATAGCGTAGTTAAATATGTCAGTGACAAATCCTACCTAGAGGAGAAAAAGAAATTAAAAAATTAGACATCTATAAACAAATACGTTAGAATTTCAAAATCTGCTTTGGAAAGAGTTCAACGACATCTCCTGATTGTCGCTGATTAGTAATATCTTTTATCATAGTTGTTCGTCGTTTAGTAATTAATAAACCGAATTCAGTTTTAATTTTATATAAATAAGATCAAAGTAACTCGACTATCGTATATTAAGAATTACCGTAATATCAAACATTCATTCTTTCGACAAATTTTCCAAAAACGTTCCATGCTCAATTTAAATCGGTTTTTTCTATGATGCTTTTATTATGAATGGATACGGAATGTTTTATATGACTAATACGAGTAAAATGACATTAACCGAGGCGACCCTTGCATCGCAAGTGGTTACACAAGATCTGGCATTAGTGAGTGAAACCGCACGCGGTGCGGTAGTGAGCGAATAAGCTCAGCAGTTGTGCTGTCGCGAGTGTTTTGTGTTCGAACTACTTTAAACTATTATAAATTAATATAAATTACTGTAACTAGTATTTCTTGTGTTAGTGATGTCGAAAGACGGCACCAGATTAAGTCGTCTGGGAGTGCTTGCTCCAGCCGCTCTCTCAGCATGCATGGACGCCTCTGTCCTGGCCGTGCCTGCAGCAGGGGCGATAGTATCCACAGTACTGAAGGAACTCAGCAAAGCCTTCATGCTTAAGAAGTAAGTAAATGCATAAAACGTTGCCGGCCGTTGTTACTAAAAAAAAATGAAGAATGCAGAGATGCTGGAATTGCATTAGAAAACATTTATTTTGATATTGTATACGTTTTAAATTTACGTCTTTTAGTGCACTTATTTATATTACAAATTATTGTAGTTATAATAGTATAGTAGTTTTCATGTAATTGTACCGATTTTAAACAAGCAAGCAAAGATTTTTAAATACTTTGAAAGTATTAATCGACTGTAGCGTGAAACGTAGTATTTAGTATGAATATAAAATAACGTACACAACTGCGGTTTTATGATAGTCTTGGAATTTTTTACTTAATCGTATATGTAGGGTCTGCAAAAACGGTTGCGGATCAGACAACCCGTCATTACATCCATGCAACTCATATTATTACACACCAAACGTCATTTCGACCAATCACACTCATTATTTTCGAATACAAATTGCCTTTGAAATTATTATAATTGAATAAATGGACTACTGGACCCGATTATTCATCCATATAGTGGAATAAAACCATCTTAAAAAGAAAACGACCACATACTGCTACAACCAGCATCGTTAAGTGGTACTCTTAGGAAGGAACTTAGTGACCGATCAACTACTCTGAGTACAATAGCTCTTTTAATCCCTATCACCCTAATAATTTGAACAAAATTCTATATTTTTTTGTGTAATCCTAAATAATTGCCAATTAAAATCGTTACCAAGGTTTTTAATACTAGGCATTAGATCGGATTTCCTTTGATAGGACCCCTTTTAATCCCAAAGTAATAGGGAGAAGAATTACCAAAGCATATCACAAGTAGCATTATTTAGGGGGAATTAAATATAGGGTGACTTTATGTACTTTTTAGATCGATGATTAGGGTTGCCTATAATGAAAAAAGTAATATCGGTAAACAAAATTAGTAAAATGTTGCGGTTCAGTGTTTACCGTTTTTTCTTTATATTAACGTTATGGATTGTATTAAGCGATAATTATTTTTCCTTGAGGATCCGAATATAGTGTTCAATAACTTCTTTACATATTTTGTATGTTGGCCACGTATATTTATATTCGAAGCAACCTTCTTATGTTTTGCAAATTAATCTTTGGTATTTACTAATAGGTATAAATAAAAATAATATTAGCAAAATATTTATATTACTTTTAAATATTTTTGTTCAAGTGTCGACTGTCAACTGTCGAGTGCGTATGAACATACAAGTAGGTACTAATAAGGAGTTCCCACTGCCGAAACATACGTAAAAAACATATATTGTTTTCACGTGTTTTCCAAGTAGTGAAAGAGATGGCTACTTGTTACGTATGAGTGGAAACTCAAAGTAGTTAGAAACATAACTTGAATATCATTTTCACGTGTAGAATCTAATTAATTTGCTAAAAATAATGTTTATAAGATAGAGTTACCGGTCAAAGACATTTTATTTTGGACATTTAAATATTTTCTATGCATGACAATAAGATTTCTGATTTTAAATATTAATTATGCGATATGCGTTTTATTTTTATAATCACCAAGTGAAGGCATAGAGAACTAAACAAGATGTATACGTGACGTAAGTTTTAAGGTACAAGTACAGACAGACCACTTCCTAAACAGTGTTATGTGGGCAGTTATGTTGCAAGCCGCACTACGTATTGCGTGCTCGCTAAGCTCAAAAGGCGCATATACGACATATAAACCTTTGAACCTAATATAATCCCCGTTAACAGATAGAAACTGATAGCCTAATTGGATAACTGAATTTGTGAACGTAGGATGTAAAACGGCATATCGGATTTCGTTTAAATTTGGCACACATGTAGAACACAGTCTGGAAGAACACATATACTATGAGCTACATTTCCTCGAAGACTTTATGTTAAGTTTTTTAATTCCACGCGGACGAAGTTACTGGCAAAGGCCATAGAGTATAAAGTATTATAGAATCATAATATTTTACTAATAAAAGATGACGTTACATTTTTATGAAATTTTGATGTACGTTAAGTTTTACATTTTGTCATCAAGTCTTGGTTTCAGTTACGTTTTAGTGTTTTTTTGAATTACTGGCGTTTTATAGATAACCAATTATAATGAGATTCTTAAATGGATTAGATTTAACAAACTGAAACCTACATACATTACCTCAAAGCATTCGTAGGTTTTCTTTTGACCGCAAACAACTGCTTCCTTTACATTGAACTAGTACTGAAATGTTTAGTGAACACACAAAATAATGAAGTGTAAATCATTAAATATTTATCGGGTTACGTTTTCGTAAGTTATGAATAATTCAAAACAATATAACAAATTTGCGGTTATATTGACTATTGTTCTTTTATCTACAGGTTTATTTGGTTTGATCGTTAAATTTTAAATCTGTCTTATTCGAATATTAATTATATTCATAACTATTTACTATAATAATAACCGTTGGTTCCCACTGAGGTCTAGTATGTAGTATTTTTCATGTACTTTAATGTACTATTGCTGTAAGTTTCCTTGTTTTAATATTAGATTTCTCCGGAACTTTAAATGAAACAAAGGGTAATTAATGCTCGCAAACAAGATTCCCAGAGTATTCTTTGTAACAATGTTCCTATTAATTTGATTTAATGTCAATTACTTCTATAGTTTATAACATTTAGTTTCCACTGCATGAAACATTAACAAAACCATATTGTGGTCCTTATCACTCATATGGAAAAGAACAGACCATCAATATTTTCTTCAGATGTTTCAGCGAGAGACTACTGTAACAAATGCCTTTGTTTACCCGTTCGAAGGATTTCTACAAGGCTCATTCCTGGTTCCGGCGTCTAATTGTGCAATAACAAAAACATTGACACATAACTTTATCACCTTATGATCAAGCTGTAAACGGCTCGTAAACATCTTTTCAAATAATGTTTACAATAGTTTATTGAATTTGAATGTTTACTAACTACTTTATTTACTGAACACGAACACGAACGTATCTTTACATTTTAGATCAACTGTATTTTAATCATTCTTCAATATTGAATACGCTTTTTTAAAAGCCCCTTTGAAATTATTTTGTAATGAAATAAGACCCTTTTTAATTCTTTGCCCGCATTAACCGGTTTCAGATTAATAAAAGAGAATGAGTAGTGCTTTGAATAGTAAATCTAGATATCTCAATATGCGCAGGGTTCCTCTATTGTCCGACGGAGTGCATGCAAATACGCTGGGGGCAGATGTACCCTTATATAAAAAGGGGATAACGGGACGCTCTATGTAATTTTAGTATATTATGTTTTGAACAAATGTCGGCTGGTAGTTCGCAAGTGTCATTTTTTTTGTTTTTTTTATGTATTTTTATAACAGTTAAGTAATTTGTTGTAGTTGATTTGTAGATAAAACTTTTTATAGTACTGCAATCGTTTATTAATTAAGGCACTACGAGTTTCAAAGATTTGATTTCTATATTTGTTTAAGGTGACTATTATTAAAGGGTAAGTTATTAGTTATTTCCATTGCCACTTGACGGTAAAGTTTGTTAATAGTATAACGCAATAGTAACAACAAAGGGAAAAGTTATTGGTTTAATTAGTTGTTAATGGTTATACGCGTGCAAAAACCCCGTACATTCAGATCAATGCACGCAATACGCTTGCAAACCGGTTCTCACGCACATCGAGACAAGAACACGCGACATCTCGCCTCAACCGATCATCACTGTTTTGAATGTAACGAATTATTCTTGTTGAATTATTTTGCTTGACAAAATCGTCAACAGTTCGTTGATCTGAGTTCTGTTGGAAAACGAAAATTATCTAATGTCGACGTTCTCATACTGTTTATCAGACTCTATAATGATTTGTGCAAATGTAAAATTGTCGATTAGCACAAATCGTGTACTCCGTAATCTTTATTTTATTTGTTTTTCTCCCTTTCCCTTTTAAATATAAAACCTCCGTTATAATTGCACTAATAAATTATTACATAATCTACATTGATAATTTCTTGATATTTAATTTTAATTAGGGAAGAGAAAAACTTAAATAGAGCTAAGCTGAGAATTGGGGCATAGTGTAGTTTTAGGTCAACAATGGTGCAGAACTGGCTTGCCTTGTATGTAAATTCATTGCAGATGTATGAACTTAAAGTTGGCAACCGGCTATTATTATTTTGTAAGAAAACGTTTTTGTTGCATTCTTTCTGTAATCTACGAGTATAAGAAAAAAATTCCAGAAACCTTTTAAGTTGGCGCATTTTTAATTGTGATGTTATATAACATACTTTGTCAAAGTATTTTTCACTACGTAAAATATTAGTGATTATTTAAAATACTTCAGTACTTATTTTTACATAAAAGTTGAAAACTACTTACTTTATGTACTTCACAGCATTATTTATTTATTTATTCATTAATTGAATGGATACGAAGTTAACCCCTAATATTCGTATGTTTTAATACTGAAATCCTACTAAACATAGGTTATATTTTGTGAATTAATAGAATTTGTCGTTTAGTATTCAAAGGTTGCTAACCTTAATAGTATGTAAACAACATTCTCTGCCACAAGGTCTTCTGTTTGGACAAGGCTGTAACGAATGTTAAGGCCGTAGGATGAAATTGGACTAAAGCCCTTAGGACAATTTAGATTCACCCTGCCCTTTCCCCTGGCAACGCCCATGTCTCTTGCCATTTTATAAAGCAATTTTGTGACCCCATTTTTGCTGCAGTAGTGAAAATAGATGCACTTGTCCGCATTGCGACTACGTAGACGGCAGAATAACAATTCTCTAGTAGTTCTTTTATGTTTGGTCAAATTAATTTTGCCTTTCTCTAAAAATAAAATGTAAAGTAGGTAAATAAGTATTTCAAAATTGTCATAATTGCGCTACAGTTCCTATTTCTAAGGTATAATTTACTACAATACGGGTAAGTGAGGAAAACAAATTGCACTCATTGTTCTAAATCGTGTGAAATAATAGAAAAACAATTGCGGTATTCATTGTAACGAAGATACATTTTCTTTAACAAACACATTACGAAAGATAAGTAAGGAAGAGATTATTAAGGCGACTATAGACGTTCAGTTTTAACTGAACAATCGGACTATACAGCAAAATCACATACGTATTCAAAATTGTAACTATCAGTTCTTTGTTTATAACAAACTTTCGCGTTAATGAAAACTAATCTATTTTCCAGATGGTTCCATGGGATCATGTCGGCCAAAGAGGCCGAACAGCTCATCATGGAGAAAGGAAGGAATGGCTCGTTCTTGGTGCGAGAGTCGCTGACCCATCCCGGCGAATACGTCCTCTCCGTTCGAGTCAGAGGTCGCGTGTCCCACGTTATGATACGGAGACAGGTGAGTTATTACACAATGTTATTTTAGAGTTAAACTTTTCCATCTTAGCTTTGTCATATTTGAAAACGTTCGAAGTTCGGGAAGTTGTCCGAGAAGTAAAATTGTGCTTTTCTGCTACGTTGCGATTCTGTTCAGACTTAAATATACGAGTAAACGTTTTTGTAGCGTCACCGCAAAGTACATCAACAAATTGTGTCGTTACGACAACGTTCACGCAATTATCATGCAAATATTCGTGATAGACCCTCTGTCAATAAGTAGGGACGTCTAGTTAAAATTTGCGACGTTGCCACACCGTGGCAATGTGAGTTTGGATAAATATCTACGTATTTATGAAGTCCTAGTAAAGTAGCGCTTTTATCCACCCGAATAGTCTGCGTCCTCTCGTTTCTTCACATTTTTTTTTATAACGAACTACTCGTTGAATCTGATTGCCTAGTTCTGCGTACTACCTCATAGATCTTATAGTTATATAGATTGTGTTTTAACCCCCTCCCTCTCCAAGGTTTCGTAGTAGATTTTCTCTCGTACATGTTCGCCGGGTAGATTTCGTAGCACGACACACGTGGGTTGAATGTTTGCTTAATTTCTTTTGTTTTTAATTTTTCTATATTAATGACGATAAAAGTGTTTCTCGCTTTGTACATTTTTTACCAAAGCAAGATAACGACAAAAAGAATTGTTTGTTTTGAGAAAATATACTTTTGAAGATGAGTCACATTATCTTCAAGTCAAATTTAGGGTTAGTTTCTTCTGGGAATTATTCAGTCAACAAGTGAGTCAAGACAGACTCGGAAAGGTTGACCAAATAAAGTGAATCGTGGGCATATTAGCTAATATCACCGTCATGCCAACAGTTTTTATATGATTTTGTTAAACATTACCACAACATGAATGAATAATTAAATGACATCACTTGTGCAGACAGACATGTCGAGACTTTTAATAGAATTATCAAGTATAGCCTATCATCATCAAGATTATAATAACATCTTTGAGAACATTTTTCTAAACAACATATATAAAACCAGAGAACAGTGAAGTGGAACTTTATTACTTGTTTAATATTAATTAAAAATTATTTATGATAGTCCCCTACAGTTCAGAAATTCGTATTTCTCAGGAGCATCACATGATGCTCTAGCTTATCCTATGTTAGTTTCAAAACTAAAAATCTTCGATAGTTAATGTTCAAAAGACACACAATTTTTGTATTGCTATAGATCGACACAGACTCACGTTCTTTTTAGATGCAAATAAGTATGAACCATTGTTAGTTCTAAAATAATTTTGTATTCCGATAAAATAATCCATCCCCTGTAGTTTAATAATGTACAATGTAATAAAAAAAAACATTTAATTAATTAGGAATATGTACTAACTAATATTATAGAGACAGAAGAGATTTGTACATTATCAGATAGTAACAGGCTATATTTTTTTATAGCCTATTTATTTCACGCCAACGAAGTCGCGAAAAAAACAGCTAGATAAAATATAAAATAAATTTGTCTAAAAGTGATATAGAACCACAAAGAATTTATGATATCAGGAATACATGACAGTACGGGAGGTTTGTTTCAGTTGGAGAATGAAACAAAAATATGTATTAAACATTAGTCAAACAAGGATGTTAGCCCGGTGTGAGATGCACCGCTAGCGATTGGCTGAGTCAGAAATAACGTACAACCTACATGGGCAAAGATGGCACAAAATTAAGGCGCTAGTGAGCTATCATAGTTATACTTGTGCCCACAGGATCAAATAACTTATCTGACTATAAATAAAAAAAACAATGAAAAGACTCCCTCCCCTCCTTTCTCGTCTCTCTTTAACTCGGGAGATCATTTTTCTCCTCTTGAATTTTGAAAATGTAAATATTTTACACTAGGAGATCAAAAAGGCATAAGAAATGCATCTTTATTGGATTACCATTGTATAATCGATAGACTGATTTTTAAAAAGAATGTTTTGGAATTATAATAAAACCCTTTGTTCATACAGTTTTCTTATAAAATATATTTTTAAACGTTTGTTAAATATACTGATACAAAAGCTGCGACCAAAAAAGCATATAGCGCCACCTATCTTATGCTTAGTAAGATATGCCGACTTTTTCATAAATGTGCCATCTGTTGGCCTCACTGTAATAATATAGAAGTTATTTATGATATCTAAACAAAAAATACTAGCTCAATTTATTATAATTATTATTTGTAAAGAAATTAATTTAAATTTTGTAGGGTATTAAAATCAAAATAGTTATATGTGATAATTATGTTATTAGCGCATTTAAGGAAGGGAGGCTTACGGCGCGAAATACAAATGACGTTAAGGGGCACACCTGAGTTAGAAGAGTATAGGCAATCTAGTTATATTGTATTGATTGAGTTTAGCCGCTGAAGTACCAGGGCAATATAAATTAAACGATAGATTTGACAATACAGATACTTTTAACTTAATCATAGTTTAAAAAGAAGAAGTTACTAGGTAATATTCAACAATATTATTATTATTAATTTAGAAGTAATGTTCTATATTCTGATTTGCGATCAATGAGATGTACAATAAAATCGATATTTATATGAAAGTGTGTTTTGACTAGATTTGTTTAGGACCTGCGCAACAAGAACCTTGCTTGGTATTGATCGAAAATTGAAATTGGGTAAGCAAATTACCAGGGAACTATATGACGACTGGAGATTTGTGGCGCCAAATTTAAGAATTGACTATTGTTCCATTTACTTATTTCTAAATACCATTACATTGGAGATTCAGCCAAAACTGTTACTATCTGTCAATGTTTTCTTTTTTCTAAAATAAATTTCATTACAAGGGTGTCTTATAATTACTAAATCTTTTTTGCTTTGTAAAATATCTTACTAATATCATAAATGCGTAATATTAGTAGATGTCAGAGTTTGTAGTATACTGCTGTAGTAGTGTACTGCTGAATGAATCTCTATGAAACTTGGCATGCACCTGATGGTCTGGAAGACCACTTAGACCACATACTTTGTAAGATAATATTTTAACAAATGTATTTAATTTATTTCATAATCATTAATTATTTGGCCAGAATAAGGCATACCTACACAAATCCATAAGTTTTCAAACACGGTATCTTGCAGTAGTAGCAGCTTCTTCCTTCAGACGAGCCTTTTCCTTTCTGCTAACATCGTGAGACAAAAAAAAAGTATCGAATCTGTCTGAAGTTACCCTTTCTTTATGTACAATATACTAGATTTTGTCCTCAACTCCGTCGAAGTGGAATTAAAAAAAAAATAAAGTAATTATGCCTATGTGTTTATCCAGACTGTGCTCTACATCTATACCAAATTTCGTCGGGATTCGTTCAGCCGTTCAGGCAGTAAACTCTAAGAAACATCCATCTATCCATCCGTCCAAACTTTCGCAATTAAAATATTAGTAAGATGTGTACACATAAATGTCGTGTGTTTTTAATAATTAATTATATGTTTAGTTTCGTGGTCATTGCCAGATCTAGCCTAGGACAAGGGAGTGGCAGCTATACCTACATATTTAAAATGCTTTTATACGAAGGAGTTTTATGATGTCTATTGAATATTCTTCGACTCTCTGTGTCGCCCATGTTGTTCGACACGAACTTATCGGGCTATCTACTGAAATCACCTGAACTATCGGTGCAATAACAACCTTCTCCAGATTTTTACAATGAAGAGCAATTTGAAAGGGTGATTGATAAAGAATTAAACCATATGATATCATCAAAAATCAATCATCAACATGATGGAGATGAGTTGGAAAAACGGGGTTGTGAAAGGACAGTGAATACAATGAAAATAATCAAGACTAGACGACACCAATAATCTTTATTTTATCTAGACATTTTTTTTTACATTATTAACGAATAAGTTTTTTTCACATTTACAAAGTACATAATATTTAGCAATAGAAAGAGTACAACCGAGAAGTAATCACAGATAAAAATAATATAAATCCAAAAAATCAATTATTACGCTTATTTTATAACTTGAATAAAAATGTAAAAAAACAAATATAAAACTGTTTGTGAAATAAATTGTAAGAATATTTGGATGGAACACTGCATAAAAATATTCATATTAACCGCACGTACCTAAGAAGAATACCTATTCTAGACACATAAAGCTTGCTTAAAATATGAGTATTTAATATGAGTAAATATGAGAATTTTTGAATTACAATTCTAACACCAACTTCAATTTAAAAGATAGAAACACATTTATCTACGAGTATAACTTTCATCTACGAAACTACTGAAATTTTATAATCTAAATTCTAAGCAGACATTTTCAAATCTCATATGAGAATGGTATGGGTATTTCTATCATATAATACGTAATTAAATTTATTTGAAATATCATATTACAGGGTGATTAATTATTGTATTTATGACTACTAGACTTGACATTTATTTACTTATACATTAAAAAAATCTATTAAAAACAAAGCGAATGTAAAATATGCCAACTTAAATGAAATAAAATATTAGATTATTTTTAATACATTATAAAGTAATACAAATTTGCAACAAAATAATTTCCTTGCAAGACAAGACAAACAATACCTAATATACGAATCGTTTTATATAATTTTATCAAACGTAGGCATGTAATTTAATAAATAACTAGATTCCTTAATACCTTATAATAATTTAAGCTGGTTAATACATCCGCGTAATTCTAAAAAGACTTAAATGTTAACACCAATCCTAGATTACTGTTTACTGACAAATATTCAAAGATGGCATATTCAATAGTTTTATTGATCCGATTCCCTTACAAATAAGTTCATCTCAATAAAGTTGTTTGTTATTTTAGTAACTCAAACTTTTGATTTATGGTTTTATTAAATTTTAGTTGTTTAAATTGCCAAAACTATTAAAATTTCTTTGTCTTCGATTCAGTATTGTTTTGATTTTTATAATCATCTTGGTTTTTGCTTATCTTAATAGAACGGGCTGTGTGAATTAGTGT